TCGTTTTTTTCTTCTTCTTTACTATGGCCTCATAATAATGACAAAAAGTCCATGCTTAGCCTTGATTCTCGCATGAGTACGCCTACCTTGACCCCCGACGCCATCCCACGGGCCGGTATCCAAAAATTTAATTGATTTTTTTCTTTCATTCTTTCTATCCTTCTCTCTTTCTTTCATTCTTCCCTTAAGAGAATAATTTTCTTTTGTCACATTTCGTTTGCTGTATGCTTGGCTTATGATTAATAACATTACAGGAATTATGTTTTATATTTATGTATGTATAATATATATTTATATATATATATATAATATGTATATGTATTTTAGAAAATATGGTAATTTTTTCTTGTTGTTGTTGATTTTTGAATATTCTTCTCTAAGTTTTTTTTGATACTATTAACTGTTTTATATTTATTTATTTATTTTTCTCTGGTTTAAAAAATCATAATTTCCTTGTTAAATATTTTTATTTTATTTATTTATTTTTTTCTCTCTCAATTACATTAATATAATAATTATAATATATAATAATTAGATAAAAAAATTGTTTGCTTTATTTATTATGTCTTTCATTTACTAATATATCAAGACTTTATTCTGGTATTTTTTATGTTAATTTCTTCTTATTATTTTTGTTTTAGTTTTGCATTTTTTTAAATAAATACGTTTTTCTCCTCTTATCTATAGATTTATGTTTTTTTTATTTATTTGTATATAGGATAATTTTTTGTTTTTGTAATCCTGAATAATCATTCTTGTTGTTTCCCTTGGTTAGTTCTTTTTTCACGACTTTTTGTTTTAGAGATTTTTTTGTTTTTATTTTTTGAAATATTGTATTTTGATTACGAATAAAATTTGGTGTTTCTCAGCGGGGCCTCGTTTTCTTTCGCCGCCCTACACTCACATAAAACAACCCGAAAAAGAGGCTCATCAATGATAAAAGGAAAAAAACGTTTGAGTTTTTTTTGTTTTTATTTTTAAATATTTTTTTTATAGTAAATCAGCTATAAATTCTAAGAAAAAATAATGGAAAGAATTATATATGGATGCAGGTTTTTCAAAACACAATTTCACACAATTTTACATTGAAAAAAAAAAATCAAAACAAAAGCTCACGGTTACAAGTTTATTTGAACAATTTTTCATCTTCTTGGGTTATATGTTAAGCAGATTTTCTCCATTTTTGTTTTTGTAATTACTTTACATTATATTAATTAAATATTACAATGATGAAAAAAAAAATTATAAAAAATATTATTATAAAAAAAATTGAAAGGAGAACAAAATTAAATTGCATAAAAAAATACAAGACTGAGTGCGAACTTAAATTACAAAAAATGAAAATAATTCACAATAACACCTCAACAGCAATCACAGAACGCCTTGCAAATGGAAGTATGGATATGAAGGGGTCAAAAAAATCTTGACCTAATCACAAGTAGTACTTGTCAGAGAAGGATTTCAAAGAAAAATATTCTACATTTGCCACATCAAGTAGATCAAGTATCTAATCTAACGAAAAATGTATCCTTAAGAGATATAAAGTAGAAAAAAGTCTTGAACAAAAGTAATAAATAAAAAAAATAATTTACCCAAATAAAAAAAATAAAGTTCACCGAATTGTTGTAGTTAAAATTATATTAAAAAAAGGTTATCAAAAAATTGCGAAAAATTAATTCTGAAATTGCTATCCAAAAACCAAAAATTGAAATTATTCAAAATAAAAATATATTTTCAAAAATCCCTGATAGAAAAAGAATGCATAATATACATTTTTTAAGCATGTTTGCTTTTGAAAAAATAAATTATTTTTAACATTGTTTGTTTTTAGAATTGATACTCGGTGATTAGTTTTAATTAGGGTAAATCGGAAAAAAAAATCGTATATGAATTAAATACAAAAAAAAAATATATATAAATTAGAAATAAACCTTGTACACAATAATCCATAGAATTCAAGAAAATACAAGAAATTAATTTTTGTGGCGCCAAATGGGGAACTGCTCACATGTAATCTCTGCGAAATTTATTTCATGCGAATGACTTTTTTTTAAATGTGATTGGATTTTTGTAGAATTCTATTAAAAAAAGATATTTTTTATCTTTGGCTCCCAATGTGGGACTGTTTAAATTTTTTGTTACTTTCCCAACAATTGTTGAGGAAATGTAAGGTTTTGTTTGGGATTTTTGAATCTATGTCAATTAATTCCAGTTCATTTTGAAAAAAATAAATAAAAAAAAAACTGTGGCGCCCAAACTGGGATTTATTTATTTTTGTAGTTATTGGCCTTCCTTCGAGCATCAAATTTAAAAATGCAATTATTTTTTGGCTCCCGATATACATTTTCAAATAAAAGATAAAAATAAAAGTGGCGCCCAACTTGGGGAAATGTTTCATTGTAGTCATTGGCATTTCATTGGGGACAAAATTTTAAAAAATACAAACATTTGTAATTTTTTGCGCTTGATGCCGATAATTTTAAGTTTATTTTAAAAAAACCGAAAAAATTTTGAACAGTTTGAAATTATTGATAACTTGTTTGCAATATTTTTTAGCTCAATATCACAGACATGAAACTATTGGCGTCCAATGTGTAGCAATTTGAATCTTTAAAATTTTTAAGAAGTCATCTAAACGATTTTTATATCATTTTTGTCGTTCAGAGAGACTTATTTTCTTTCAATTTTGTACTTTATTATGATATAACGAAAATGTCAATTTGGCGCCCAACGTGGCAAAAATTTTGTTGGTCTTCTGGTAGAGGAATAGATTGGTAAATATACTAATAAAGGTTTTGAAATTACGAAGCAAACTTTGTCATTAAATTTGAATGATTTGTTTTAGATCGGCAAATGTGGCGCCCAACGTTTTTTCTTTATTTATTTTATTTTTTTCGTTTTGCTTTGACGAAATTTGCGCCCAAAGGGAGATTATAGCTTTAGTTCCTCAATCGTTCTGATTAATATTCATTTGTTTTATGATGTTCAAATGTGGCGCCCAAGTTTTTTCTTTATTTCAATTTTAAATAGATTTCTTCATGATTACGAGACGGATAAATGTGCAATGGCGCCATTGCACTCATTCTGGAATATGAACCCATTCGGCGGCCAATATTTAGAAAAAATAGAAGCGGCACCCAAACTGATATCACCTGGTCTAACTAATTGCTATATGTCTGAAATTTGTAAATAACTATAAAAGTATTATCTTTATTCTATATGGCGCCCAATGAAATTCCAAAAATTAAAATTCAATTCTTAAATTTCATATCTCAATTGAAAAATAATTATAAATATTTTCCGATATTTTTCTTCTATTCTTTACTAATAAGCGCCCAACAGTTGGCAAAATTTCTACTAAATAATTTTGAAATATGAAAAATTGAATAAATTGCTGAAAATTTCCATGTAGTTGGTACATGGCGCCCAACCAAAGGCCACATTAAAATACAATTTTTGAAAATTGCTTTTCCTATTAATTGTTGGCGTAGCAATGGCGTAATTAATAAAATATTTATGTTTAAAAATAATTTCTATTTTTTTTTTCATTTCAATAATGTTTGGCGCCCAACATATGGCAAAAATTGTATTAAATAATTTTGCAAGGAAATCTAATGAAAAATATTACTGAAAATGGAATTTTGGTGAAATTGAAACTAAAAGTGGCGCCCAACGTGAAGTGTTTTTAACGAAGAAGTGGCGCCCAAGGTGAAATACTGTAATTCTATGGATTATAAGGGCAAGGTTTTGAAAAGTTGTTTTTTTTGTAATTACTAAATAAAAAACTTCCATGGGAATTTCATTTAATAACTGATTTTTGTTTTTTTTTTTAATTTTTTTTTCAAATCCACATAGAAAATTATGTGAATTATTTTTGTGTATTATGGAAAAGTAAAAAAATACTGAATAAGATCAAAACAAAAGGAAGTAGCAATTAAGACTAGAAACTAATGAATGTTTCAATGCAAGAAAAAAACTTATTAAAAATAAGAAAAAATTTAAAGAAGAAAAAAGAAGCTAGAGCCTCCATAGAAATTGTAGGATTTTGGAGTTTTTTTTTTTTAAAGAAAAAAAAACTGATCTCTCTTAAACTATAGCGGATTTCATTCTTAGCTTAGATATATTTAGAAGAACTGATCTGCCAATCAACTTTGCAATACAATGGGTTGTTGTTGCAATTCAAGTGATTGTTGTTGTTGTGGTGGTTGCTGCTGCTGTTGAGGTGTTACATTTATATAAAAATCTTTACCTATTAATAAAATTGAGGGCTCGGAACCATCATAGGGATAAAAGTAGGCAAACTCGCCAGTTAATTTGTTGTTGCTGTTGTTGTTGCTGTTGATGCTGCTACTGTTGTTGTTATATCTGCTTGCATGCAATATATCTGGAAGATCCTCAATGTCACCTTCTAAATGGAAATCATGCTGTTCATGGGTCAATATCAAATCACCGGCCATGGCGGAGGGTAGCGACAACAATAAATTGTCGGTTGTGGCTGCTTGCTTCTTCATCATCATCATCATTGGGTTATTTTCGTCATCTGCTGCTCCTCCGGCTTTATGGTTACATTGGTTATGGTCATCGTCATCATGGGTTTTGTGATTGTTGTTGTTGTTGTTGTTGTTGTTGTTTTTGTCATAATTATTATTATCATCATCAACATTGTCATTGGCGTCATCTGAGGCGAGGAGGCCATTGTTGGCGATGGCGTCTTTGATATCAGGCATGCCACAGCATGCATCATCATCATCATCGTTATCATCATGATCGTTGTGGCGAGTTGCTTTTGCAGATTTCTTTTTGGTCTTCTTGATTTGACTCTTGGCTGGATGGTCGTTGATGGTCGTTGCCAGAGACATGGTTAGAGGCTGCATTGCCTTACATTCGGTGGGGTGGTGGGGAAGTTGGGTGGAAGTAATGGTGCCACGGCTGGTGAGGATTGGAGTTGCTGCTAGTGTTGTGGAATTGTTAATAAACTTGGCCGGAGCTGTTTGTATTGATGTTGTTGTTGTTGTGGCTGCTGCTGCTGCTGCCGCATCCGTTGCAGTTGCTAAAATTCCATTTGGAACCTTAACTGCTACTACGGATTGCAGCTGCTGTTGTTGTGTGTTATGTGTTGCTATTGCTACTGCTGCTGCTGTTGTTGTTGTTATTGTTGGTGTCGTTTCCGACATTTGTGTTGCTGCTGGCACACTTAATCACGTGCTCAACCATGTCGAGTTGCAAGTGCAAATTGTAGCGGGAATCATGGGTGCATAATAGATGCCATTGGCATAGATGAGACTGGGTGGTCCCGCCGGTATCTGTATGGTTTGTGGCATCGCTGTGGCACTGGCTGCTGTAGCCTGCTGCGCTGTTTGTTGTGAGCTTGCCTGTTGTGGCTGTTGTTGTTGCTGCTGCTGCTGTTGTTGCGTTGGATCAACGGCGGCCGCGGCGGCGGTTGACATGGCACAGCAAATAGTGGCTGTTGTGGCAACATTTTGTGGCGTCGTTTGTGGAACCTGTTGTACATAGATGGTGGTGGTTTGAGGCTGCACTAATGTTTGTTGTTGTTGCTGCTGCTGATGATGATGCTGCTGCTGCTGTTGTGATGAGAGTTGTTGCTGATGGTGTGAATGTTGTTGCTGCTGATGATGGTGATGCAGTTGCTGGGTTTGAGGCGGCGTTGCAGCCACCAGTGTCAATGTGTTTGCATGGGACTGTTGTGACTGATGCTGTTGTTGTTGCTGCTGCTGCTGTTCATTTATCGCTTGCTGCTGTTGCTGCTGCTGATACTGTTGCTGTTCCTGCACTTGCTTCTTGTAAAACACCTGACCCGCCAAATTCTGTATCAGCATCAGGGTCTGCCGTCTCTCGTGACCCATCAGGCACACCGTCGATTTCTCGACCACTTCGTGTAAATGCATCAGGTACTGGTACTGCAAGGGCTCCTCGTCGACACCCCAGAAATGATTGCGCAAATATGCCTCCAATTTCACCGTCTGCGTATTTATATCGGGAAAGTCAATGAAGAAACGCGAGCACATGTAACGCTCCAAGGTCTTGATGCGCTGCGTGTCGACGGGTGTGTAGCTGCGCACCAGCAAATTGCAATACTTGAGCAAACCGCCGCCGCGTATCTCTTCGGGCTGCCGCGTTGAGATCAATTTATTTTGCAAATGATACAAGGCCTCCTGGAAATCACCATAGACAGACTCGCCCACCACCGTCGGATAGAAGTTCTCCGATATGGGCAAGGCGGCACAGTCGTAGAACAACAGCAGTGAGTCCAAAACGATTTGGAATGAATCGACCGAAAACTCGAATTGTCGCCGCATTGTGTCGACAAATTTCAGTTCGACATTTTTGTGACCCGGCGAATTGCCCAACGAGATGAGGGACCAACGATCGCCGTCGTTGTTATTATTGACCTTGACCATTTTGCCCACGTAGGCCTCCTTGAGGGCGCAGGGCATGATGCGCCGCTTCGACACACCCTCGGGCAAGAGATCGAGCAGTGTGTTCAGTACCGCTGTCTTAACACGATCAAAGTGACGTGGTGAGCTCAGCTCAATGGCATATATTAAATCCAGATCATTATATGGCTGATCCTCGGAAGCCAAGACATGACTAGCTGCTCCGCCATTTAAACGTATATCTTTGACTATCACACCGGCACCACCGGAACCGACGTCCGCCTCCAGCTTGCGCCTCACCAGATTCACCAAGTCTTTTAGTGTCACCTCGAGTGTGGGGAAATTGCCCCGTCCATGTATGGCCACTTTTTCATCCATGACATGATGCAGCTTGCGCACCTGTTCAAAGGACAACACAGCCAGACGTTGTGTACCGCCCGTATCGACGCTCTCCAGCGAGCCATGATCGGATGTGGAGGCTATCGAGGAACCGGAACTGGGCGATGGTGGCGGTGTTTCGGTGCCGCCATCCGAATGGAAACCATCGTCAATTTGATAAACGTCCATTCTGTCGGATCTCTGTTTGTGATATGACGAATCGGGTGCGTCTAGTTTCCCGCACTGCAATAAGAGAGAAGAAAATAAACAAATTATTAGTGATGATATTTTATAGAATTTATTGAAAATAATTTCGAACAAATATTAAAAGTTATAAAAAATATTATTGTAACTAAAAATTAAAAGCGTTCGTATACAATGGTACATTTTGAGGTAATTATTTAATTACAAGTATTAGTTGGAAAACCTGTCACAGTTTTAATATCGGATTTTAGGGAATATTGTTTCAAGTTTAAACAATTTCGCTAAATAATTTTTAAATGGCGCCCAACGTGGAACCCTAAGAAAATTTTATAAATTCGTAGATTTTTTGCGTTTTTTAACCGTTGAAAAATTAAAAACGTTCAGTTTAACAAATTTTAAAAAAATTTGAAAGTTTTCAACTAATTGACAAGAGTCTGTCAGGAATACAGTCACAGTTTTTTTTATGAATTTTTAAAAGAGTATTAAAGCTACTTTAATGGATTTTTAAGAAGTCCTTAGAATTTTTTTATGGCGCCCAACGTGGAACTTCAAGGAAATTTTGGAAAAATATGACGGAGAAAAAATTCAATATGGTGCGCTTTTATGATTTTTTTTTAAATTTTTGATTTGTAAATGGCGCCCAACTTGTATTGGTTCTTTAGAATTTTTTCTCTCAGATTTATAATCGAGACTTTCAGGACTACTTTAAACACATTATTTAAAACAGCATAATATGTACGTTCATGGACTTTTATTAAAATTTAAATGATTTTTAATGGCACCCAACGTGGAAGTTTAAAAAATGTCTATCAAAAGTGTGCGGTGGAAAATGGTGGAATTTTATGAAGATTGAAAAGATTTTTTTATGTGCACTGGTTCTTTTGAAATTTTTCATAAGTCTCTCAGAGTTATATTCGAATGTGGAAGTTGAAAAAATATAGTTGAACTGTCAGAGACATAGTCGTACTTTTTTAAGATTCCCTTTCAAAAGGGTATCAAACCTAGAATCATTGATTTCAAGAAGATTTCAAATCAATTTTTTGGTGGCGCCCAACGTGGAACTTTAAGGAAATTTAGCAAAAGTCTGTCGGAGATATTTTTAACTCTTCTTACAAGAGCACCTCAAAAGCCAAAATGATGGACTTTTATACATTTCTAAGAAAAAAAAATTAAAAATGGCGCCCAACATGCCTGGATTTCTTAGGGATATTTTTGATAAATCTCTAAGAGTTACAAGCGTAATATTTTGAGGAACTTTATTATGGATTACGATTTTTTTAAGATTATTATAAAATGGAGGCCAAAGCGGAGCTCCAACAAGATTTTTTATGGAGTTTTGTGAAAAAAAATAGCTAAAAGCCTGTCCGAGTTATAACCTTACTTTTTTATTCTGAGACAGAGTTCTAAGACAATTCCACTGAAAAATTTGGCTGAAATAATACAAATACGGAATATCAGGGAGTACCGTTATATGGGGGCTATTCGTTATTGAAGACCTATATATAAAAACACTTCTAGGGGATAAAATACTCACAAGGAACTCCTTGTGCGATTTTTCTGGCAATTCCGTTGAAAACTGTGGCTAAAATCATCAAAAATCATTCATCCAAATACCGAATATCGCTAGGCGCGGTTATATCAGGGCTATACGATATTGTGGACATATTTGAACTTGACCTGCCTGCAGACAAAAGACAGATCTGTTCCACTGGTGGTCAGGACAGAAATCTGGCTCTGTATATACTTTGTTGTACCTAAAATTTTTTTTTCCATGAATTACAAATGGAATCTCGAACTTAGTATACCCTCCATACTATGTATGGTGGAGGGTATAAAAAACAAAATCGTGAATTTTCAAGAAATGTTTAAAAAGAATTTTAAAATGGCGCCCAACATAGAACATTAGTTAATTTTTAAAGGATAAAATCTCATACTTTTATATACTTTGACATTTCTAAAGGAGCAGCAATAGTCTGCCAGGAATATGTAGTAATAGATGTTTGTGACATTTTTGCTAAGCCCGAGGATTTACTAAATTTTTAAAATAATTTTTTAGTGGCGCCCAACATACAATCTTAGGGACATTTTGTTGGAAATCTGTCAGAGACAAAAATATTATAAAAGAAAAAATTGTGAATTTTTAAGAAATTTTAAAAATATGATTTAAAGGCACCCAATGTGAAACTTTAAGTAACATAAACAAATAGTATAAAACTTAAATCTTGGAATGTTAAAAAATTTTCAAAAATGTTTTAATGGCGCCCAATTTTGAACTTTGCTGTTATTAGGGAAAAATATACCCACCATATGGCTAAGAAATAAGCTCTTAATACATTTTTTATTGTATTCAGTAAAAAATTACCACTTTTTTTGAAACGCAAATATATTTGAGCATATTTTTATATTTTCTTATTTAATGAAAAAAAAAAAAAAAATACCCAAAGAAATTCTTAGCTTATCATTTAAAGAATTAGATTTAGCATAAAATTATCGTATATATGCTGTGAGGTATTTAAGAAAATATTTGTGCAATGAATACCTTCACTGGCACATAAAGTGGGTATTTATGTTACCAACACAATGTTGCAGGCTAAGTAGTGCCTTGGCAGATGATGGTGATAAAACGGCAACAAAAATGTGACAAAAAATTTAAAATACTTTAAAAAGGAATTTGCATGGGACCTATAAGGGCCAGAGAAAATTGTTCAGTAGCATATACACGTATGATATATACAATTAGTGTGCATATATAACAAGGTCGCAGCCAAAAAAAATCCAATTAAAATTTGTTTTCTAAAAATAACAACATCATATTATGTGATTATTTAAAAAAAAATGACACTATATTATGTTGATAATTTGACAGCTAGTCCCCGTACTAAACAATGGCAACCATAACAAGGTACAATAATGAAAATTAGTGGAATTTAGAGGGAAGAGAGACCGAAAAAAAGTACTTTGTTTCCCTATGTTTTTGGCCAACAAGCCAACTAAACTAACGTTAACTATTGCCATTATTTCATCATCAGTTTGTGTTTCGTTTTTTTTTGCGTCTAGTTGTTGTCTTTGCTTGGGTAATACCTTCCCCATGGCAATGGCGTCTGTTTGAACAGACACACTCACACACATACAGACATAATGAGGAAATAAAACTTAGTTTTTTGGTATTTTGTTTTCACTTGTTTTGATTTGTAATTTTTAACCATAATTACGATTTTGTGTTAAAAACAGATACTATTGTTTGGAAGGGAATTTTTTTGGAGGGGGCCGTTAAATTGTTGGGGTATTAATATATAAATAAAAATAAACAAACAATAAAATAAGTAGATAAATAAATAAATAAAAAAAATAATAATACAAAGATTAAATAAATAAAAACAAATAAATAATCAATTGACTTTAATAATATCTATAGCTAAAAGAAAGTCGTGTTAGTTACGGATTCGGTTGAAAATTTCTGAGGAGGTAGCATAGAGACAGGAGACAGACAGAGGATACTATTTATTTTTATACGCTCCATAGAATGGAGGATATATTAAGATCGCCATTCCATTTGTAACTCATTGAAATAATCATTTTGGACATAACAAAGTATAAATATTCTTGATCAGCGCAAAATTCGAATACGATATAGCCCATTCCGCCCGTCCGTCTATCCCTCTGTTGTAATCGCGCTAGAGTCAAAAGGAATAAAGATAGGAAGCTAAAATTTTGCCCAGGACAGGCTTTTGTCTGAAGGTAGGTCAAGTTCCAAGATGGGTTATATCGATCCTTGATATCGTATAGAACCAATGTAACGGTACCCCCATGATATTTGGTATTTTTGGTATGATTGTAGCTACAATTTTCAATGAAATTGTCTGAAAATCCACAAAAGGGGTTTCTTCTCAGTACTTTACCCCCTGGAAGAGTATTGTCTATGTAGGTCCAGATGATCGTATATTCTTCATATAAAGGTACCTCCCAATAGTCAGTATTTTGATTATTTTAGCAACATTTTTCAACGGAATCGTCTATAAATCTATACTAGAAGTTCTTTTTAAGCACATAACCCCCTGGAAGAGAAATGTCTATATAGGTCCACAATATCGTATAGCCCCTATATAACGGTACACCCCGATATTCGGTATTTTGATTGTGACAAAATTTTCAATTAAATTGTCTGAACATCCACAAAAGGAGTTCCTTCTGAGTACTTGACTCCTTGAAAGAGTGTTGTCTATATAGGTCCATGATGGTAACGGTAACTTCCTATGGCTAACTTTTAGCCATATTTTTCAATGGAATTGCCTAAAAATCTATACTAGAAGTCTATATAGGTCCATGATATCGTATTTGTGGGTTAAAACGGTACCCGCCGATATTCGATATTTTGAATAAGGTCCCTTATTCACCGGAGTTGTTTCAAATTTCGTATTTAAAATTCGTAATGGGAACTACAGTCTATGCCACAAAATTGTGTATGTAGGTCCAGGTCTTCGTATTGGCCTCACACATCACTACATCTCTATATTCGGTATTTTGATCATTTTAGGTACAATACTCACCGAAATTGTTTGAAATTTCGTATTTTAAGTCCCTAATACAAGGTGAGATGAAAAAACTACAACCAACTTCAGACTGCTGTCATTTCCAAGCCACCCATCCGACAGCTGTTCAAATTATTCCAGAGACAGCTCAGCTCAGTATTGTTAACAAACATTCTTTGTACAGCAGTTTGTAAACAAACAAGACGATCGGGTTTACTTGCCCAAGAGGTCAGCTGAAAATGGGTACCTTCGGTTGGCCACCAGAACTCAAGCGCCGGCCATGGTGATGGTGTGGGCCGCCATAACAGCCGACGGTCGCTCTCCGCTCGTATTAATCGGCCGTGGCATCAGAATAAATGCCGAACATTATGGCGAAAATATTCTGGAGGGTGTTTAAAGCCTTGGCCACGCAAACATTTTGAGCCACCAAGAATGGTTGCTCGCTCCATTTCTAGCACACAATGGCCACCAAAATCTCCGGATACCAATCCGTTGGACTACTGTGTTTGG